GGGTCTGGCTGCTGGGGTAGGCATTCACTTAGCTTTCACTCTGGGTTCTTGGCTAGCTTAGCATTAGCATGCTGTCTTGGCAGGTAGTAGCAAAGAACCGAAGTTGTGTTACCAGTTTGGTGCGGTTGTTTATGTCCTGGATGCAGTTTACCACTTTACTATTTAGCTGGTCCTTTTGTGCAATAAAAATAAATGTCTATATCCACGCTCTAGACTGCGTAACTATTTATGCCCTGACATGCAAAATGAAATCAGCTTATTGTAGCGCAAGTGCAAGAACCGATAAGTGGGATCAATAGGCAGGCAAGAAATTGGACTACCAGACAAGTACAAGAACCGGTTCTCAGTTCCCATCTCTAGCGCCACAGATGAAACACTGTCAATCCCTAAACTTGCTTTATTTTTACTTTTTCAGCACCACTGCTAGTTATGCTTGTTTTTGCTGTCAATACACCACTAAGTTTGGGTGATCTAGTGCCATGTGCATTTTGCAATTTAAGTTTGAATCACTAGCTACAAATACATAATCTTGTGGCTTTTCAGTGCAGCTGATCCACAAAGTCCTCAAAGGACAAATTATGGAAACAGCTGCAATTAGTAGCTGATTTATATATTGTGATAGGACCTTAGAGACTAATTAAAGGCTTTTGTGTTCTTGTCTATTGGAGACATGCTAATTTGAAGCCTTTTGACTGAGAATCACAAGAACAAGTCTGAAATTCATGCATCTCAATTTGCACACGCCCACTGCAATAACGAACATTCAGTGTAGTTGTTAAAATGGGAACTTGCAAACATGTCCCTAATATTCGGATGCCTGCATCATTAGAGTAAATTCTGTATGATGCTAAAAAGAACTGCTTGTCCCTTATCTGATGGAGTTGTGGGAGGTCTTGTGCATTAAACCTTGTTATTGTGCTTATGGTAGATTTCTGAAAACAGGCAAAACAAATTATCTTCTGGATTTTCCTTCCAAGGAGCAGGTTTTCCCCTGTTTATTAAATTTGTTAGAGTGCTTCTGAGCAATGCACATTTTATCTTCTTAACAGTCAAATTACTATATACTCCAGCAATTACTTAATGTACTCTAATGAGATTTCCCCATGAAATGGAAGGATTCATTTATTTTAATGTGACGCATTCTACCGGGTAGGTTTATGCATCACATCCCCTTGCACTGAAACTTTGTCTCATAACTAGTAAGATGAGCTTGGCTTTCAGAACTGCCACTCTGGCCACAGTAACAGAACTATATAATTGTGTGATCCAGGCACTGGGGATCTTTTCAGGGGCATCAGTGGGTCACAGGTACCATTTCTAAGCTAAGCTCTCTGCAGCCAGGTATTCTCTAGGATTAGTAAAATACCTTGTAAAAACAAGCTGGCAGGCAGCATTTGTGTGATAGACGAAGGGAATCCAAAATCTCAAACACATGCTGCAGAAAAAAATATGAGGTAAAATGAAATGTATCGCTTTGTATTCTTGGCCCACTAGCTGAAATCAGCGATGTTGCAATATACCGGTATGGGCGACAACTGGAAAATACAAAATGAAAAATTGCTATGAATAATTGATTTTCAAAGAAATAATTGGTACTGGAAAAAAGGCATATGATAACATCGTAAATCATTCAGTGTCATTATGGTTATGGTTGCAGACTCAGTTTGCAGTTTATCACAGCTCTTTTTTCAGTAACTACTCTTCTGCACCATCAGCCTGTCTATGCAAGTTATTAACAACATTCATTTTTCTCCTACACATTGGAACAAAATTAGTTCCAGTAACAAAGCCAGTACGCTAAACTGGACCACTTACACTACATTTGCTCTGCTGCAGTCAGGCTGTTGTTACATTGCTGCGTGAAGCACCCGAGATGGGCAACTGTTAACGACTTAATTCTTAATTTGATTACTGATTTTCTTTTTATTTGCTCTTGATACGTCTCCCGCTCTCTCCATTCCAAGTGTTCTGAGCATATGCTAGCTGCTTCATTAATCTGTGCTACTGTGTCTACATTTTATGGATGGACTGAGTCCCTGCAGTCTGATATATATTTACACTACCAGTCAAAATCTTCTTCTTATTTAATGATTTTTCTCTATTTTTACTACTTTCTATATTGTAGATACGCACTGAAGAAATCAAATATATGATGCAAGATATATGAAATTATGTAGCAAAGAAAAAATTGATAAATAACTCTAAATGTGTCTTTTATTTTATATTTTAAATAAAAAACATTAAATAAGAAGGTGTTTCCAGACTTTTGACTGGTAGCATGGGGGACTCAGTCAGTAAGAATTTGAAAAAAATAAAATAAAATGTAAAAATTTTAAAAAAGCTATAATTATGATATGGATTTTAAGTGCAAATCAGAGATCATGACAGCCCTAGGTGGCCAATTTTAAACTTTGTTGTATTTATTTGTTCAGTGCACTGTAAATAAATATTAATATTAATGTCATGTTGTGAATGTTGTAATGTATGTGAATTGAATAACGTATTTATTGGTAAAAGTATTTCACTGTTCAGCCCTCGTACTGAATGCTAATCATTGTGTTTTTGAATCTGTAAACTGGAATTTAACTATTCACAAAATCTGTTTACTATTGTCAGACTTCGTATCTTCAACACTGGTTAATAGTCCCTTATTAACTGGATATCTTAAGGGGTTTGACATTAGCATGGACAAATCCAGCAGCTTAAAGAAATCCACTAAGGTATATTATTTTAATACAAGCATGAAATAGAGATGTATAAAAGTACAATAAAAGAATAGGAGGAAAATAATTAGGCACTTTCAAATGCTCTGCGGCATCACACTAACACAAAGCAATTTGTTGTTCCTCCTATCATTTCCTGATTGAATTGGAGCGTTAACATAGACTGGGAGTGATTATTAACTGATATCAATATGAGCCTGAGCCTTGACTCATACACCCTATTAATATGCAGCAGAAAATACTTTAAAGGCATCCTCTGTTGGTGTTTAGACGTGTGTGATCCTGGTGTTTAAAAAAAAGCAAAAAAAGACCTGGTTTTGAAAGGTTGTCTGTATATCTGAAATGATGGGCATAAAGTTAAACTTAAGCACTGACATTTGTAACTTTTTGATGGTGGTGAGCATTTTTTTTGTTCCAGAATTGACGGAAGATGGCAGAGACTTTTCGCTTTGTTACTGAAATGGATAATATGATGAGAGTGGAGGTGGAGGAGCCATTGTCTCCATAAGCTGATGTTCCTGCAGGCATCTTTGAAGAAGCTGTCTAAACTGTCTTCTTTAAGGCTGTAGCCGAGACACGAAGGGACTTTGCTGTCTTACATTTGACAGTTCATGTTTGTTACTGTACCAATTACATATAAATTGAAACGCTTAAACTATTTAACATTAGATACGGCATGCGTTAGCTTGGAGGGGTGTTGAAATAATGTTTTAATGAATCCCAGTTAATGGAACGCAAAACACAAATATTAACTTAATAAAATGAGTTTACAACAGAAAGACTCCAGCACCAGCTTTTTTGTTATTTCTAATTGTGTATTATACAAGGAGTAGTGAAAAGGTGGATGAAAGAGGGATTTCAGCTTCAGTCTATCATGTACATCTAGGCTGCCATAGCCTGCTCTCCTTCAAAGCTAGGATATCGTTCCCCCTCTGCCAGCATCAAAGATCTTAGAATACCTTAATTGCCCATATCTCCAGATCCACTTTTTTGCTGGGAAAAACATTGCACAGTTTATAGTGCATGAGAGTAAATTTACATTGGGTGTATAATTTTACGTAGCAAACTGTGATTTGTGCAGGTGATGAATGCAAAACATAATTAAGTTCTGAACAACTCCCACTTTTCTACTCCTTTAATTTCAAAGGTGAACATTAAAGAAACATTTATCTTTACTTCTGCCACTTAACAGAATACAAAATAAAACCCATTGGTTGATAATGCATGTTACTAAAGGCAGGAGCTCTTTCTACATTTACAACCAGTTTTCAGGGGACTGGTATTAATTTTTAATTGAATGATTACATTTTTTTTTCTTTTTTAAAATGTTTTGACACTAAAAATCCATCCTGATTCTATCGATCATATCAAGAAAAAAAGGTATTCCAAAATAAACAAAAAATACACAATATACAGTAGTGGATGTAGTGCAGGATTACCTGTCTGATACACCTCCGTCTAAAGCAATACTGGACTTTGATGTTCATACAGACATGTTTGCAACTTTAGAGCAGTGGTCCTGGCCATCTGAAAATGGGAAAAATGCTTTCCTTTGAATTGTATGTAAAAGAAGAGTGCCCAAGTCCAGTTATCTGCACCAACAATGTGGTATTCGGGGAAAATAAAAGGATATCTTAATGGAGAGACAAGAGCCTGAGATATTCTGCTGCCCTGATGAAACAGCCAAACACACACACACACCTTAAATCCATTATGGCTTTGGACTTCAAACAGATATTGGGTTTTTTGCGCATTTTTTGCTCCATGTTTGCTGAACAAAATTTTAGATCTCACATAATGTGCACTTCTCCCATCAGTATGCGTCCTAATATTTTCTCCATTTAGTCCTACCTTAATTTGTGTCTGTCTTCCTGCTGTTGTTTTTTGATTAGATTTCAGACCAGTTGTTGTGGTGCTTACCCATCTCTCCTTTTTTGTTTTTCAGGTGGAATTTTCGAACAAACAGACGGACCTGTTTCGCTCGTCAGTGCGGAGGAACATGCCTTTAAATTTGCAGTCAATAACATAAACAGAAACAGGACTTTGTTACCAAACACAACATTAACTTATGACATACAGAGGATTAATATCTATGACAGCTTTGAGGCATCAAGAAAAGGTGAGTAACTTGTCTCACATTTATTCAAGGATTGTGACCACAGTGTGGATGAAGGCAGGAATCTGGTTTGTCACACTGTCATTAACTTCATATTAATCTGTGTTTTTGATTTGAGAATTCCCAAATTCTGCTGTGACAGGACATAAGTGAGGTTCTTCTCAAGCTCTTGTCCCTTTCTCCTCTTCAGCTTGTGACCAGCTGTCTTTAGGCGTAGTTGCAATATTTGGGCCCTCACATAGTTCATCATCGAATGCCGTGCAGTCCATCTGCAATGCACTGGAAGTGCCGCATATCCAAGTGCGGTGGAAACATCACCCTATGGACAACAGAGACACCTTTTATGCCAATTTATACCCAGATTACTCATCTTTAAGCTATGCTATCCTGGACCTGGTGCAGTTTCTCAAATGGAAAACAGCTACAGTTGTATATGATGATAGCACAGGTAAACAGACTGGTATATTATAACATGTTACTTCAGTTACTTGGGGTATATGTTTTATGATAATTTTTGTACTGTTTCTTGTCTGATAAGGTCTTATAAGACTACAGGAGCTGATAATGGCCCCGTCTAGGTATAACATCCGACTAAAGATCCGCCAGCTTCCTCTCGACACGCAGGATACAAGGCCTCTTCTCAAAGAAATGAAGAGAAGTCGGGAGTTCCGGATCATCTTTGACTGCAGCCACCACATGGCAGCACAGATTCTCAAACAGGTTAGTGTATTTATAAATGGTCCTACTGTCAGATCTCGGAATGGGTAGAGAAATGAAAGGATGTGGTCCTGTTCAATATATTAATTCCCATCAGATTGGTTTTGATTTAAGTTACAGAGGATTACACATGGGACCGGGATTGAAGAACAGTAACAGAAAATGCACCACTAAAAATAAGACAGCAGCAAGCTGCTAGGGAGTATGGGGATTTCCGCAATTACATTATTTCTTTTTTACATCAGTGTGATTCTTGTGCCCAGATCGCTGGTGCTGGTTCCAAAAGGGAAGCACAAAATGGACACAGCACTGCTAGAGTGCTCGTCCAAAATTTGGAACCGCTGATATGAGAGAGACTACAGGAATTTCATCAGCGAATGAAGCCCACAAATTCTGTCTGCAATAATTTCCTTCCTACAAAAATTACCCCAACTTCAGATATATGAAGGTACATAATGTTCACTTCTGAAATCTGTTGAAGGTGAGCTGGTTCTCAATAGGCACCAAGGCAGAACTGACTCGGCCTGCACCAGCGTAAAATTGGTAGAAAATAGGTGAAATTGAGAAAACTTGGATATTCGTTTCATTTGGAGGACATTTGGAATTATTTTCTTGTAATCATGAGCGGAGACTGTCAGTGTCTCCGAATTTTGGTTTTGCCCATTAAATATTTGCAAACTAATACGACACTGTGAATTCCACAAGGAAAAAAGAACAAAATCCACATCCACATTCTTATTCTGTTTGCTAAACTTTTAACTACTCAGACAAAAAAAATGCGATCTGAGAAGTTTTATTATCAAAACTGTATATAGTGTGTTTTGATTCTAATGATTGTCAGTCAACAAAGAGCTGTCACTATGATGCATGGAGCAGAGAATATGTAGGTGGTCTGATGCTCTTTGGATGTCAGGAACAGGCTGGTGGATCCCTCCACCCCCACCCCTCATTCAGTTTGCTGTCAGCTTCTGTTAACATTTTGCCAAATGCATCATCTCCTCAAAAGTTATTTGAATAACTCAGTCCACCCCAGTTATTGAGATCTAAGGTGACATATATTCGCTCTTGGCCAGTCTGCACATCTCGCGCTAAGAAACCAGTGTCCTCTTGAGAGAAGTGGTGAGAATGCTATAAGGCAAAAAAGCTCCAGACAGTTGTCTTCCATGACTGAGCCGGCCAGAGCTTTTACATAGAAATAAGGGCAAACTACATTCATTGCTGACTGCCTTTTATGTGCCATGGATCAATTAAAAAAGCTCCTTAAACGTGCATCTGTCAAAGTGTGTGCTGTACTGTATAGTACTGTGACCTTACATATAAAACGTTATTGTACTTTGCTGTGATACATTCTACAATACATTTTTTGTGAGAATTTACTTTACGAAAAGTGCATTAGACACAAGTGCATCATATTAACTGTCAATCCCAGGTATTCATCCAAGCATTATGTTCAGTATCAATTACATGTCTGATATTTTTTCTTTAATTAATAGTTGGGCCTTTAAAATATCAGAAAATAGCGAATAATTGCTCATCGTAAGTGTCTCGATATATTCAAATTGCTTGTCACATCAAAGAGAACAAAGAAAACACTGATGAGATATAATTTAAGACATTTTTACTTGAGAAATTACTAAAATGATCAGCTGATCTTTTTTTCCCCTCTTTCATATGTTGACTGACTGGCTAACCATTTTACCTTCGATAAAGTCAGCTGTGCATACTGTCAGTTTGGTAAATCTTCTTTATTTGTAATGCATGGAACAATTTTTAAATAGAATGCGGTGTGATTGTCACTTAAGACTTGAAATGCAAAATTTTGAATGGATACCATCTGTGCTTTGATTAGCTGGCAGCATTCACTGTATTTATCAGCTACTATTAAGGCAGACTGGTCCATTTATACATTTACAAAAAGGTTGCTCCAGACTAAGATAATGAGTAAAAATGAAAAGCACTGAATTCATTTGTAATGAGACTTCCATCAGGCTATTCATCATTGCAATCTGGATGATGCGACTGAATTTTCCTAAGCTTTACACTCTGACATGCTTTATTGGAATCATTTCTTTTGTCATAACAAAACACTTCTTGCAGCATTCTCAGATTTACAGGTTGTCCTGTCGTCACACTCGTCAGACTGGGCAGGCATATATAATAGAAGATTACCAAAATAAAGAGTAAAATAGAAGGCTGACAGAGTTACGCAGCATCGGGAAAATTACAGTTATTAATGAAAACTCCTTCTTATACTATAAAAAATAAAATAAAATTTCAATGTCATGTGTTTAGCTGTCTATAGATGCAGAAATAAATTTGCTACCACATGAGCATAACGTCTTATTTACATAACCTTGGCTGTTTTTTTGTTTTTTTTTTAAACAACAGATGGTACAATTAAATGGAAAACACAGCCACCATGGGAATGTAGTGCCTTTGAATGTAGATGGAGTGAAACAAGTGGCAATGATGGAGTGTTCAGATATGAGGCAAAGATTACCGAGCTCTTTTGATTGAAAGCTCTCTTGTCTGCTGGGATAACGTCACATGCCTCGAGGCATTCCAAACCATTTAAATGCATAGAAAAGCATCAAGCCATTCTGTAATTCTGTGGACCACATATGGTGCAGAAATCCCAGCAAACGGCAGCAGAATCTCACCCGCAAAATGAACAGCATGTTGGTCAACATGCTCGTTAAAACCTCTGTCTTTTCCTGCATTCCTTTAGCATTGTTTACTCTGACAATGCCGTTGATTCTAAAATGCCCTGACACGACACAATTACAGTCTTCTCTGTCCCGTCTCTACTCATTCACACCTTTCTTTCCCATCTTCTGTCTTCATATCCTTTCAGGCCCAGACCATGGGGATGATGACAGAGTATTACCACTATATCTTCACCACTCTGGTAATGTACCATGCTTGTTAATGCAAATAGAGTCTCGTTTGTTCTCATCTTCCCACCACTTGAGTTTTTGATGAATAGTGGCTAATTGCCAATGGAGTTTGGATCCAGTCCATAACATCAATTTTGTTTGACAAGCCGAAGGCATAATGGAGTCTTCTGTTTGCTGTAGTAAACACTTCGCTTTATAGTAAAGTCAACAGAAGTCTTTGAGGTAGCAGCATGGGGAGGAAAAAAAGGAAAACAAAAAAAGACAAACAAAAAAAAAACAAACCAAACCCAGCAGATTGAGATTTAAAGCTGAATGTGACTTTCAAGTTGGTACAATCATTGTATATATTAAACACACACACATATATATCCTCTTATGTACTTGCAGTTTATGCAGTCAAGCAGCCAGGTGATAGTCTATATCATTTATATTCAGGCACTCAAGAAACAAAAGAAATCGCTGCACGAAGAAACAATGAATGACTGACTGAAAGAATTTAGGTTGATCATTTAGATATGTTTAACAGCTTTTGAGTATGTAACCGTTTCCCTCCCATCATGAGTATTTTTAGCTCCCGCTCTGATGAAATGATCTCATCTGACTAATACTAGCAGACCCAGCAGGGTACCATTGCTGCTCCCTACTGCAACCCTGACTATCTGGTGACTGAATGAGAATGAATACCAGCGTGTTCGGTGTTGTTCCTTTCATTCCCTGTTATTGTCTTTGTTTCTGCCTCCCTTGTGCACTCCGTCTCTCCGGACTTGACCAGTCTGTTGTGATAATGCAATATGACATAGCGGTCCAGGCGTGATGTGTGTCATCTTTCATGCTCAATAGCGTGTCAATGACATTGTTCTGCTATGTGCCATGTTTGTATAGCAAACTGGTTGGTTTAATAGGGAATGCAAAATGTCTTTTCATCGCCGGTGCACTAGTCTGTGTGTGTAAGTGCAGCAGTTTCCTGGCTTGTTCTCTAGCAAGATATTTACTTGAGGATTAACTGAAAAACTTTTATTTGATATGATTTTTTTCATCAACAATATTTTTCACATAAAGGCACTATATCTTTATAGAATCAGAGTGCGATATCTATCTAAAGCTGCAATATACTGTCATATTGACAGACACCCCATTAAGAAGATTATACCTTGCGGCTTGATTTGATCCAAAATGATGAATACTTGCATGGTGTACATGGCAATACAATTTTCTCTCGATGGAATTCACTGATGTCTGTGTTTTATCTTCTGAGGTGAGGGAAATGCCGACTTATTAGAGCATGAAAAGGTAACAGCAGAGTGGTATCGGGTAATAACTTCCTTGTCCTTTGAAATGAGTCTGTCATAGCTCCCGCATTGCCATAGCTATCTCTGAGAACCTAAAGACAAGAACTTTGTTATGTTTGGTACCTGTACAACACTTCTGTGTGTATATAGATATACATTGGGGTTTTCTGGTAAAGAGATAATTGTACGGTTACACAAAGTTTGCATAGCATATGTGTGCGTGGAAGGCAGCAGTGCAAAATTCAGACTTGTAACAGATTGCTTTTCTGGCATTGCAAAGGGGCTAAAGCAACCCCTTTTCCAAAAATGCAGTGATGTGTAAATCATTGCATTGTGTGCTTGTAGCAAAATCAAAATGAGGGCAACAATAAAATCTCAGCGTTTGTTGTCATTGTTAAAAATAAAGACGTATTATACTAAATTTTCTATCCCAGTATTTTTGGATACATAGATTCAAAGCTAAAAAACCTTAAACCTGATCTGCTGTACTTTATTGCTGTACTGCTTTCTAGTGGGAAGGGGGGAAAAAGATGAGAAATATTTCAGTGATTCAGAGCAACGACCGTTCTTTAGTAAGTGTCTTACACGCTCTTGTTCTCCCAGCACTAACCCCACAGGGTGCTAATGAAATATCTATGTTCATCCAAATGTCTTTTCCAAGCCCCCTGGCCCATTCTGACACGACATGTGTCAACATGTGACTTCACACTTCAGCTACAATGGCTTCCCCAGAAATTGCAGTGGCTCAAATTGAATTGCTTTTTGCTTATAAGGTACCAAGGGAATGCAAGTGTTGAATTATTAATATTCATTTTTTTTCCTTTCCTTGTTCTTTAATTCTTTCTGAGCCACAAGCAATAATTAGAGTCTTGCCAAATTACAAAAGTACCTATAGAGATCTATTCACATAAAAAAGCAAAATACATCCTGAGCTTTTAGCTTGTGCACTTGGTTCATCATTTTGTAGGAACTAAAGCAACAAAACAAACAAACAAAAACAGTTAAATGGCTGGCTTTAAAAGGATTATCCAGCAACAAAAGCTATTTAGGTCTTTTGAGGTTTGCCTTATGATACAAATACCACTTTCCATGCCATACTTAAATCCTACTTTATTTCACCTTAATAAAGTTATCGCTTTAATCGGCTGCTGTGACATTATCTTTATGTGTGGGATTGAATAAATACTTAAAGACGCTCAGTGGTACTAATTAAGAATCCACTCTTCATTACTTCTGTCCCTCAAAAGGACCTGATGGCCATCGACCTTGAGCCCTATCGCTTCTGTGGCGTCAACATGACTGGTTTCCGCATCCTCAATGTGGAAAACCCTCAAGTTGCTTCCATTGCAGAGAAATGGTCAATGGAAAAGCAGAAACCACCTAAACCCGATTCAGGCCTGCTGGAGGGCATCATGACGGTATGTGGTATATACTTTTGAAGTCAGTCTTAAAAATCTTTAATCTTGTGTGGTTTGGTACGAAATTACTCTTTACCTCAGGAATTATCTCTGCAGTAAGCTCTTTATTTTGATCTTGTGCTTTACTGCTAGGCTTCAGCAATGACTGAAAAAAAGACAAAGAAGTTCATCTTACACATGGCTATCCAAAATTATGTGTATATAATAAGAACCAATTATCCTTTGAGATGTATTCATCACTCTTGTTCATTTTAGTTATTGGGACGTTGTACCTTGATACATAGTATATTTTTAGGAAAACAATAGAGATGTAATCTTAATAAAGCTCTTTTGGGGTAGAGTGGAGCAGGATGCTTACAGCGTGAGTGCACCAGCCACACACACACATAAAGGAAACGGAGACCATGTTTATTTTTTACTGTTCTCATCAGTAGTATAAATAAGGCAAGCAAATCAAGGTTGAAGGTTGAATTATTAATTAGTGTATAATTGATGTGAAAATAATAATAATTAGTAGTAAGACTAATGGTGACTCAACTGTTTATGTCTTTGTAGAGTGTTTAGCTGAAACAATGTTCACCCCTTATTCCAGACAGATGCAGCTCTGACCTATGATGCAGTCCACATTGTTTCCGTCTCATACCAGCACGCTCCTCAGATGACCGTAAACTCACTGCAGTGCCACCGCCACAAACCCTGGAGATTTGGAGGCCGCTTCATGAGTTTCATCAAAGAGGTGATGGGGCATTGGCCTGTTGATATTTGATATAAGTGTTGTTTATATAGAAACATAGTGACTGAGTGGTGAAAAGGACTACGGTGAGCAGAGTGAGAGCCATGTAGTCGTGTGGGACTTGGATATTTACCCAGCAAAATCAATCTTATCCACATACAAAGTGAACCAAGACTTGATAGACACATCAAAGCAGCATTGTTGTCAGCTTTATAAATTCCCTGTATTCATAACCTATTTTCCAGAAAGCATGTACTGTAACCTTTTGAAAACACAACTTGTGTAATCGTCTCTTATTTCATCTAACATGAGGCCCTGACAGTGCCTCAGAATTCAAAGACGAGTCTGTGCAAAGTGAGAGATTAAGGGTGTGCAGAGATGCTACTATTTGTATCTTCATTTGTACAAACAACAGAATCATTTGTATCTGTGTTTTTCACGGGTGTGGTCGTGTGTGGTGGGGAAGAGTTGAAAATGTCAAGTTACATTTTTCTCACTTAAGAAAATAACTCCAGTTAAAGCAAATTTGAATGACTGTACACAGGCTTTACTTTCTAAAGAAGATTCTACAACTGTGGGAAGCCTTTTTTGGTTATTTGGCAAAATGGATGTGTTGGTGGTGTTTGATATATGGTCAATATTTGTGACCAGTTTGTGACTAGTCCTGTGGTCAGCTTTGGTCACTTTTCTTGTAGGAATCTCAAACACCACTATGATAACGGAGAGGAAATTTTCTATGTACATTATAATAACTGACCTGATACCCATTCACTCTTTTATACAAGAAAAGTATTCTGTTACGTAGGGCTGTTCAATAGTTCGATATAACGATATATATCAGATGACGATATAAAAACGTCGATCGTTTCATTTTACGCTATCGTTTGTTTCGTGGTTTCAAAATAAACTGTTTACGGCAATATTTTTTCATCGTGTTGATGGTCACTGTAGTAGCTATATTAATTTCTTAAAGTTCTCTCTTTCTCTTATATTTAATATAACCACACTACAGACGGACAAGCGCCTGTTTTATGCGTTGTGGTTAGCAACAACGATGGTAACAGCATCGCGTGTCCGCTTGTTTATGTTCCACATAAACCTTTCACAATAAAGCTCAAGATCCTGTTGAGACTTTTCAAAATAAACTGAATCACGTGAAAGAGCAGATTATTTACGGATGAGAATTAAAAAAGAGCCGCCAGGTGCTAAAAAATAAACCTTAGACTCAAACGTTAGAACAGGTTTTTCCCCGCAGCACGCCGTGTAATGAATACTCACAAAGAAAACGGCGGCCGTTACAACTTATGTCTAAAAATGTATCGTTTCATGCATCTGTTAAAACACTGGACTCCAGCTACATGACGCGCAGCTGGAAACACTTCCCACAAGACGAGCTGCCTGAGATTCGCAGAATTTACAGAAAATGTTACATCTGTGTGATTTATAACGTTATGGGACAATAGAATTCTTATATCGGGATATGAGATTTTGGTCATATCGCACAGCCCTACTGTTACGTAATTACTTTTCCTAAAAAAATGCAGTATGCTACTTAATTACTCCTCAGAGAAAGTAATTCAATACACTACTCGTTATATTACAGTCATATTACTTTGTATACTGACTTGAAATGAACATAACTGCCAGTTAATGATATAATCCTCAAGTTACAGTCCTACACAGTGACATAAAATGAGGACGTACATTATGTTTCTTTGAAATTTGTTAAACCCAACGCTGAAAATAGGTAGGACAAAATCACAATAGAGCTGTCATTGTGGATGGTCACCTTCGCGTGTTCCCCCCCAAAAAACAAAAAAAACATGTTCCCTGTGTCATGCTGTTTCACTTACTCCACTTTGCCTTTAATAATAGCAGCAAGGGAGCAACGAGTAAACAGTCTCTCTCATTAATGTATGTCCACTGATCTGTATCTGCAACCAAGCTGCAAAGAGAGGGAAGAGTAGACGTGTCTATAGATCCTTGTGTGGTCCATTTGTTGGGCAGGACAACCCCAAATACAGAGTACGGTATCAGTTGCCACTCCCTTTCTAGTCTAGATTACCAGGAAAATTAAGTGCAGAGAAAACATCATCTGGCTTGCAGCCTTGTTCAGTGATAAGCACAAGTGGAATTGGGGCTCCAAAGGAAAATAAGTATAACCTTTCTTTGCCCTAATGCATTGCTTTCAGAAAGAAAGTGGGGGTGTGTGGGAGGTTTTAAATGGCCACGACTTGTAGCTCCTCCAAGACTTTGCTTCACCAACAGATGGCATACTTGAAAGAACAAATTCTGGTCTGGTCTTTCTATAAATGGTAGTAGACTCCCAGTAAGCATTCAAATACAGTGTTATAGCCAAATCATCATCTGACTTTGCTGAACAGGAAACACTTTTTTTGTTTCAAGTGAAAATATAAGGTGGTATGATTTTTGAGTTGCCTGGAGATGCCTTTTTCTTAGTGGCAGGGATAGCAGTGCATGTGCTTATGTGTCTTGGACTTCCCAGCAGTACACTTGAAGAGACCTGAAATTATAAAGCACACTAAGACTGTATTTGCAGTATTTTATTTTCACAGATATCCGAGTTCAGTTCATTTCATTTTAGACGACTCTGTAATTAGAAATTGGATCATTTGATTCATAGAACAAAGGAAGACGGGTGAAGATGGGTAAATTGATGGGTGAAACATACATAAAACGGTGTAACTGTATATTAAGCAGTTTTAATTAAAGCTAATTAGTTTTAATTAAAGTTTTTTAATTAATTAATTAAAAGTTTTTTATTGATTAACAGTACTGTATTATTACCTTTTACTCACAATGTTGCTGTTTTTAATCATTTAACAACACTAGGAATTTACTACATATACTATGCACTGAAATGTGATATATATTTTGTTAGTTTTTGGCTACACGTTGCCAACTGGAACAGGAGCTATAAAGTCCCGCTGCTGTTTGAGATGCAGTAATAGACACAATTCTCTTTGCCTGCAAAGTCTGCACACCCTATATCTTACTGGTGTCTGTGTGTGTCTGCAGTATTTAGTTTAAAAAAATGCCAGTGTTAGCCATCTTGAAAGGATTAAAGTAAATTCAATATTATTACATGATTGTTCTTATGCAAACATCGTAAGTCTTAGGTTATGAAAGCTTAAACTCAGGCCTAATTTACGCTTACTTCAAGACAGGAGTGTGACATATTCTGAAGGTCGACTTCGCCCTTTCGATGGGATATGGCTGACGCATTTATGTCACTCTCTGAATTAGAGCTGCTTGAACATGCCACCCACCTATATGGCAATAGGCCAGTGGGAATGAGGTATGACAGTGTTTGGAAAAGCAGAGTGCCACAAATTTTTCCTTGAAGCCTCAATATTCTCATGTTCTGGCAAGCTACATGGTGGTTGGACAGCTATAGCCTGTAGTGTTGTCACAGTTTAGATTTTAAACATCAGAAAAGTGTTTATGATATGTAAAGATTCATTACCATGTACAAAGACCCTTTAAAAAAACCTTACAATGCTGTGGTGTACACACTGGGGTGCAATCGCAACCATAAAACTAAAAGAGACAAAAATAAAATGAGTAGAGTTACTTCCTGAGTTTTTTATGATTGCTGCAATGGTCTGAGGTATGTTCGTGTATTTAGTACGGGCCTGCATGTATTTGCCTGTGCACACGTCTGTGGAGGTGGCAGGTATCAGGGAATCATAATAGGGGGCAGTTGTATGTTTTTCCCCTCATGGGGAATCAAGCAAAGGGAGACGGTTGTTAATTAACTCCATAGTCTGAAGGGAAAATGCGTTGGAGGCAGTGAAATGTAAAATGTAATTAAAAAAGAAAATGCAGCCTGTGTGATTTGTGTTTGTACTTTTGGTTCATGTCTGCGTGGGTGTGAATTTGCTTTCCGTGAACGTCAAAGTATGTTGTAGTGTGTTCTGTTGATAGGACTTAAACATCTTTCTCCGGTTTGTTGTTTCTTACTGTTGTTGATGTACCTTGCACCTTCTAGTTTTTGAAACATGTAGGAGCGGTACAATCAAAATATTATATACAGGTATATGGGTAGATGTGTACTGTATATAGGTGTCAGAAAGTAGGTATGCAGTAGCACTAAATTCTGGAAACATGGGTAGTTTGAGCTCATGCTGGGTAAAATATGTAGATATTTTGTCTTTCAGTCCCACTGGGATGGTTTGACGGGTCGACTGTCCTTCAACAAAACAACTGGTCTACGTACAGACTTTGACCTGGACATCATCAGTCTAAAGGAGGATGGACTTGAAAAGGTAACTATTGTTTAATGTAAATCCTTGTTAGATGAGGTGAAACATACAGCAATGTTTCACGGCAAGGAGTATATAAAATGTAGAATTTTCATCAAAAGAATATATAAAATTGCTCATTAAAAAAAAAAATATAAAAAAAAAAAAAAAAATGCATATTTCTGATTTTTTTAATGTTGAATACACACACACTTGGCAATATCATTTACCTCCTAACAAGGAAGCAAATTGGCTGTTTCAACATAAGCATAAGTTAGTGGATCATAAAGCAAATTGGATTAGGGTACACATTAGGGTGTTAATTGCTGCCTCTCTTAATGATAATTTGAGGTGATGCCCAAAATGCTGTTTGGTGTTAATGAGCTGTATAAACATGTTTCACACAAAAAGGGGGTGTGGGGGACTAAAAGGTTCCTACTGTAGAACTTATTTTATTATACTGGAAGGCCTCTGGATTACAACAGCTATTCTCTACTAAAAGGCTTTCATACATTATGAATACATCAAATAGGGATAAGTCCCATTATGACTTCTTCAAGTACTCCCTAAAGGCTCAAGAATATATAATAGCAGGGGCTTTTCAGCTTGTAACTCCTCTGTTCCAGAATGAAGCTTGTAATACTGCAGCTTTGAAATGATTCTTCTTCCCTCTTTTATTGGCATCTTGTCCTGCATGTGGTCAATTAAGTTGAAGCGCAGTCATCTCCTAAAAGTATTTGATGCCATATTAGTGCATTCTCATTGTGCATCTGACAAATCCCACTCTAATGCATGCTAGGGTTGATCCGGCAGCGTGCTGCAGATTGCTGGAATTTTTTTTTTCCCCTTGTATATCCGTGGAATCGGCTTTGACTGTTTGAGCCTATTAAGATGTGGACTTTTTTCTCAACTAATCCATTGTAATTGAATATTAGCCTAAGTTTGAGCTCACGCTGGAATTATGAACAGGTTCTCAGACTGCCACTTTCACTCAACACTGGCATGCTCAGGAGGGTGAAATAAATGTAATGCTCTCCGTGTGGATGCATGAGTAAATAACTTTTGAATCCAGTCTTTTGCTAATCATGTTTAATGAATTGAGCTAATTGTAATTGGGTACAATTAGAAAGAATTTTGCAAAGCGGAAAGCATTCAGATATTTTTAAATCTCTCTCCTGGAGTCCTGTTTGGTTGTGTGACAAGCTGTAACTAATGTGCTTTTCAAATTAGAGCATATGCCTTTATCTGGATTAGGCAGGGAGGACATTAACAAACATTTTTCATGCTTTTTTTCTGGGGTGGGGGTGGGGAGCAAGTTTTTAAATGGATCCACCTCAAGCACAAATCCCAGTGAATATTAAAAGCGCTGTCTCTAGTAATAGAGAAAGAGGGAAGAATGGGAGGAGGGTTTGGTGAAGAGCTCGATTTGCAAACAGAGATTGTTACCGACAGCCACAGGACTATTTGTGCTAATGATATGTTCCAGAGAGTGTCTCTACAATATGCAGAGTTTTTTTGCTTCAGGGCTTCATGCATGTATAACTCCTTTTATTTGTTCAAATCTCTTGGCTTATATGAGGCTGTACAGCAAAATTACTTTCACAATGCAGTCCTAATGGAATCCCCATTCTCCATCTTCATTTAAATTTACTGTGAGCTTGTTGTAATATTTGAAATATTCAATATTTCTATTGGTTTAATACACAGTCGTTTCTGTACACATGTTCATATTACATAGATTCTACATTTATATAAAAATGTTTTGATGTGATTTGATTTATCTGACTTATCGCATTGCAGTTCATTGTTCCAGTTTCTTTGATTTACCCATAATGCTTAATGCTTAACTAACCCCCTACTCCCCAAAATACACTGGCCTGCTGATAAAAGGTGACTCAGCCAATCATCTAATGCTGCCAGAGATGTGTTCAGCCTGGCACTAATGTGGGAGATGGTTGCCGGCAGAGTCTGCTAAGGTCATTGCTGATCAACAGAAAAAGAACACTTAGCTACACACTTTTCCTTTTGCACAGGTGGGGAAGTGGAGTGCGTCTGGAGGTCTTAACATCACAGAAGTGCCGAAGCGAAAAGGGATGAACATCACGGATTCTCTGGCTAACCGCTCCCTTGTCATCACCACCATCCTGGTAGGTCACCTGTGTTAGCCTGGCGTAAAATATGCCATACCCTTCATACCTTCCCAGTTGTCCATCTTATAGATAACACATTGCAATCCAAGCCTTGCCATATATTTACTTCTTTTCATTCTGTTTGGTTCACTGCAGACTAGAATTCTTTAGGCGTGCTTTATACTGAATATACTGCACTATAAGGAAGAGAAGTGGCTGCTAGATACAGTAATATGTTGTACTGACAATTCTAAAAATAACACAAATACTGACACAAATCATAGATATGATAGTAGATATTTTTTTTTATAGCAAAAGCAACTACACAACACAGACCTGTCAGTTTTGAGAAGCCCTGGGGCAAAGAAAAAAAAGGAAACAAAAGAGTCAGTGCTACAATAAACTATTCCTGAGAATGCAATAATTACATGCTCAGATAGAAAGAACTTGGCAAGCCCTCCGCCAGATCCACATTACCTTCATTTGTACAGTATTGTAGATTCCCAGTGGTATGTACTTAACACTGTCACTGGCTGTTGGGGTCTTTGTATAGCTATCAGGAAGGTGCTTGCCCAGATGTTCGCCTGTACACCCCTTTGGGACAGCTACACAAGCTACAATGATAAACACTGTTATTAAGCCTATATTGGACTACAAAGCTATAATTATGAGAAGTGAGGTCAAGGTGGGATATAATTAATGCCTATCAGGTGGCATCTATGTTAATACTGTCTTATACAGGAGACATGAAACAAGGATTTTAGTGCTATACTAAAATATACTAGCACTAGTAGTTACAGACTCATTTCTGTGAGAGTGGTGTAGATTTTGGATTTTTTATCTGCACTTCATTTTCTTCTTAAAGAGTATTTCTAACATTTTCCAACATTTTCCTTAATTTGCTTTTTCTTTGGATATCATTTGTTTAAGATCATAAAACTGACTATTTTCAAATTGCCGAAGAGAGCTCCAGCTTTAATATCAATCTCACGTCTTAGTGTAATGGCATTGCATCAAACTGATTCCAGTGAAGCATGGAGAAGACGTCTGACAGCTTTATAGTGATAACTTCGTAGAAGAGATTAAGGCACTTAATGTGTTTTTCCCCTTACATTAATTGTTTGCACTCCATTGCCTGTAATGTCTCTGCGCAGGCCCACCTTCCTTCCCTGTCTCTTATGCACGCCCATGCTGTGATTGTGAGCATAGAACTGGTATAAACACTTTGCTTTGAGTTAAAACCTTGGGGAATAGCAAGAATTGGAAGGCTAGAAACAGATGGTAATGACTTTCTCCCTTAACATGCAAGCTTTTTGATCAAGTTAATTGGACAACTTGAGCAAAGTTTGCTGCTAAGCACTTGCTCTCGGAATGCATTGTCATCAAGTATTCATAACTTATTATTTATTTAAAAGGCCATCCCGATTGTAATGTCCAAGTAGCTTCATATTTTGTAGACAAACAAAGATCTTGAGCATTTACTGAACACTTTTACGGGCATGTAAGTTTAACTAGGATGCGTAAAATAAATTATTGCCTGCTTGATACTCGGGTTGCTTTACACCTTCTTTTACAGACAACTGAACAGAATTATAAGTGTAAACTTTTTTTTTTTTAATGTTTCCCACCGCTCATTTTCTCCTAAAATAACTTTCTGGGGGACTAAAAGAGTACTGTGACTTTTTTTTCCCTCCCCCTTCTTGACTACATCATTTTCTTTAGTGCTCTACCAGCTACAGCTGAGGGAAAAAATATAAAGAAAGGGGTCACCTTCGATAGAGAATCAATTACCCTGCGTCTGAGCTCAGTTTGTAAATTATACATCTTGCTATTGGAGGCAGTAAATTGTATTACAGCTTTTGCATAAACACACCAACATGTTTTGAAATGCACAGTGAGATATGCTCGTCTATCTGGCAGAGAAATGGTAACAGGCACTAAATAAAGGAAATCATTTATGAGCGGTTCTGCGTTAGTCATTGTCACTGCAGGCATCAGCTCAGTTGCTCTCCCTTGGAGGTTGGTGACAACTGATGAAGGCAACACAGTGGCTATGTTCCATTACACTGCTGCATTCTGTTCCTAATCAAGCTTTTATACAGCTTAAATTATGAGCATCCGGGCAGGATATTACAGGCCAGTAAAGAGTGTCAGCTACCTGACCATAAAATAAACGGTGCACCAGCTATATAGGTCAGTGAGTGGGAGACAGTAGGTTTAGCTATTTGAACACTAACTAAGCTCATTGGTAATATAAATATTCCTTCTGTGTGCATTGCCATCACTATAACAATCACTAGATGCTGATATAAATACCTGCAATATAAATTTTTTACTTTACATTACCATCTTGTTTTAGCTCGGGTCCCGTTTCTTTAATACTTCAATGTAGGAACAACCTCAGCCTTCTTTCATATTTTACCACTGCCTATATCCACACTGTGTACTTGAATCTGCTGTCACTGCCTGTTAAATGCAACAGCGACTCGTCAGCTCAGATCACTTTGCTTCAATTAGGTTCATGTGCTGAAACAAATTGAAAAAGCTGACCTCACCATTGCTTTTCATTTGATCTTTTTGGTCTGAGCAGGAGGAGCCATATGTCATGCTTAAGAAATCTGACAAGGCGCTGGTTGGGAACGACCGTTTCGAAGGATTCTGCATCGACTTGCTAAAAGAGCTGGCCAACATCCTGGGCTTCACGTATGAGATCCGTCTGGTGCCTGATGGGAAATATGGCTCCCAGGATGACAAGGGCCTGTGGAACGGCATGATTAGGGAACTTATAGAACATGTAAGTTTTACTCCTTGTTGACGTCTTTTTTTGACCAGAAGCATTATATGCTCATATGTGCATAATAGATATATAGCTGTAATCTTTAAAAGACAAAACAAAGCAATAAAAAAAAAAGATACGCCTACCAGAACCTCCAAAGCTTAAGACAAAATGAGGTATTTGTTTAATAGAAGCAAAAACAATCAAATTTGTAATTTTATAGTGGTTATGAACCAGACTATTTTTTATTTGTAGGGAGTTTTTAACAAGAAATCATTTTATTATCAAAGTGTAATGATTTAAACTTTGATTTATATGCTCCAAACAGTCTTTCGCATCATCATGCGCACTTACAAAAGCATGCCATTGAGCTGAATTACAGGTTATGTCCTCCATGTGGACAGTGATATAGTTATGATTGAGTACAAGTCACAAGGAGCCTACAAAGCTGTCAGTTACATTTATGGCACAATTATGTCAAGGTTGCCTAAAAGTTACAAGTGTGTTGATGTCATTTAGTAAGACAGGCCATTTTGTTCAGCTGGATAAACCACAGATCTAGGATGAGCACGTAACGCTGCATAGATTCAGGGGAACACAATGGCAATCATCTTTCTGAGGGATAGCGACCAATCGTAGCTGTCTATGTCAAACTCAAAGCCTCAGTGGCCATGAAACTGCTTCGCATCGAAGCGATGGTGGCAATTCTCTGCTGGCATTTCATAAGTGTCCCTGTCAGTGCTCTCTCTTTGTCCTCAGCCCCATCGGGTCAGCGCTGTACTCAGCTGAAAACTTGTAATAGCTTAAGTGGCATTTAGTGCAGGGAATCGTATGGCAGGAGTCAATGGCTTGGTGCTGAAAGGGTTGGAAAAGGTGGGCTCCCACTGCAGCACTTTATTTCTCCGTCCAAGCTTTTTGCTAGATCCGTGTTGATAACAATAACCTTTAGAGGAACAAATAGATTACCAAAGGGAGAGACAGCTGGCACGAAAAGGAGATGCATGACTCCATCATTAAACAACACATACGTTATTGGTGCATTCTTTGGTTTCAAAGAGAGGACTCACAGGTGGCCACAGAGTCTGTTCATCTGCTTCCAGCCAAATAAAAAAAAAAACAAAAATAAAAAAAAACAGTGCAAAACTGTGGCATCTGGTGATTACGACCTTTGCACTCAGCTTAAATATGAACATAAGCTGTTGAACACACATAAACAGCAATGTAACACCATTTAGTCTATAGCTACAGAAAGTGAGAAATTCTTAAGTAACAGAGATTGGAAAAAGGAATAGATTTAAATGCTTTTATGATGCACACATACGGTCTATTTTAACCTTTTTATATCTATTGCTTTTGTAAATAGCAGCAGAAGAGGAGATTGGAATCTATACTGCTGGTTATTGCTTTTACTGCTTCTTATCACATGGCCAAGGATGCAAGACGATTTTTTTGTGGATTTTTAGTCAGTTCTATTTTGTGGTCTAGTGCTTTCCTTACTCCACTGGTATGGATAAGCTGATCGTAATTCAGCAGACCTGAAACGTAAACGTTAAGGTAAGCTCAAGAGATCTGACCCTGAGATGATATGGGAGAACTGTAAGGATACAGATTTCTTCAAACTATACTGCAGCTGTATTTTTTCTTTGCTTTGGGTCAAACTGAGACATGCTGTGCAGAAAGTTTCTGTTTTTCTATACATGCATTGGAAGGAGGATATTTCTATAAAACAGATAACAACAAAGAATGTTTTCACCTCTTCTGTTTCTCTCTTAACAATGAGATACAGAAGGTAGCTGACATTTTTTATCTTTTCTCTGTGTATTTATAATTACTTTATGTTAGCCCCCCATTGCTTCCCCTCTTGTGATACAGATAGATAAGCTGTATAACAGTTTATTGCGGCTTAGCGAGATAGGGTCTTAGGTAGAAAGCAGGGAAAATAGTTGGTTTTGAGTGATAAAAATAGTCCTGAAGCACAAGACTTGTACTTTTATTGCTATCAGCTTGCCCACTGTACCCTCAAATCATCACTGCATTGCATAATTGCACAATTGTCTGTTTAAGTGAACAAAATGCAAGTTTTAGTGTTAAATTCATTCATCCCTGTAGCTTACAGAGATTTTCACACTGATAGCTACATGTGGCAGAAATAGAATACAACCCGTATATATTTTTTAGTATGAAAATGAAAGTCAGTTATGATTTACTCGCCACAGAATTGGAGACTTGAATGAGAAACTGCAGTGTTGCCAAGTGCAACGATTTAGCATTGTGTAACATGTAGCGCTTTATTTTCCTCTGTGCAGTCACAAAGCTCACTGCAGTGCCAAAGGGCATTGTTTAGAAGGTGCTAAATGATGCAACAGGCCTTGTTAAACTTGATTTAGTCACAATAGATGATCACTTTAATCATGCTGTGATGCAAATGTTAAAGGCGTCCTTAACACATCATTTGTTTCTGTCATGGCAATTAATCTTTGCTTCGACAGATACACTGGAAGATTATAGTCAGCCCACTTCCTCTTTGTCTACATTGCTACACAGTTGATTAGATTTATTGCACAAGAAGTAGTTACCCTATTTTCAGTTAAATAGCACATTTTCCAAGGCCTCAAAAATCTTATGATCAGCATATGCTAGATGGACAGGTGTCATTTTGATTGCTAGTTATTTTTATCTTTAGTTTTGTATTTATTTATTTATTTTTTATGTGAGACAGCAGCGTGATATGGTGGTGACAGTGACAGACCCATAGCTGCAAGGACAAAAGTTCAGCTGCCACAACAGCAAAAACATGTCCCGCCTGCCAAGGCACCCTTGAGTAAATCACAGTTACACGCCACGACACTCTGAACCTTCAGCTGATGCAAAGTGACAGTTTCTTGATTACACCATCCCTGCCTCATAATTAACCCTTTGTATATTTCGAGACTACATTGTATAGTATAAGAGGTACATCTATGCTCATGTGCTTTGTATGTATTTCACTGTGCATTTATTTTCCACCAGCGGTTTTTTAAATGCATGTAAAAGTGGCTAGGCATACCATATGTGTTATCTTCCCTCAGCATTCCTATATCAGAAATTGCCGCCTGTTATCTTCAGTAACCATTGCATAGTTCAGAGGAGGGGGTTTCTGCAATTAGAACCCACTCTACTGAAGCAACACACAGTATGCACTTCTATCAGCTCTAAATATTTCATAAAAGGCAGAGATGCACCAGCTGTGAAATTCAGAGCCCATATTGATAGTCACGTTTGAAAAAAACCCCCAAACAAACAGTTTGACCAGAAGCAGACATAGATCTATTTATTTTTCTCACTTTTTCCATGCACGGGAAACAAAGAAAACTTCCTGATGAACATAAATCAACTTTTTTTAAAACCCATTCAGCTTTACGCACTATCTTTAAAAATACAGTGAGCGTGAAATTGATGTGACACAAGAGATAAACATCAGCCACTGCCATCAGAAAACATCATTTTGTTTGCAGATAGGCTGGTGGCAGCTAACAAGGACGTTTGCTGCAACCAATTATCAGTGCATCCGTAATTAAGAAAAAAAAATCCTTATAACCCTTATAACCCAGTATAAAATGCAGATATTTGGTACTAAAAACTACATCCAAGTGTTTCATCAAGAATTAAAATGTTGGTTGTTCAGTTATTACTAGTTAATGACCTTTTAGTGTGCTATATTTATTCATTTGCAAAATACCGGTAATAAATAGCTACAGACTAAGACTGTTATGTACTCTGCGTTCTGTGTACATTCAGTGGGCTGTAAACATGTAGATCATGATGGTTGTAACTTTATGAATCCTCGAGGCTGTTAGGTACAGAACACCACGACGCCCACCATCTGCAAACCAAGATAACACCAAGCCATGTGGCACATAGCAGGGCACTATCAGGTTAGCTTGCTTGTGCCCAGTTTGTGTTGGTAAGCACAAAGCAGAACAAGGACAGGCGGCATGTATATTAGCCCTCCATAGGGATCTGTGGAATCGCATGCTGGCTGACTTTACGGTTGAGTGGCAGGTTGGTTCAAGGCAGTAGAGAAGAGAGGGAGCAGTGTGTGATCTACAAATTTGAATAGTTTAAGAGAAACAGCCGATACACAGCATGATGCGCTGGTTTTCCCATTTTTCTGTCTCTTCAGAAAACGCCACTGTGCATTTAACTACCATGGCGTGGACTGCAGGAGTATGTAATCCGCAGTGCCACATGCAAAGGGAAAATGTTGTCATTCGAACCTTTTTTTACTGCGATGTGGTAGTTATCATACGAATCTGATAGAAGAGCTGCCTAGGACACAGAGAAAATTTAATTCATGTTGAGAACAGCCCCAGGATCCTTAGAGGACAACTTGGAATAAAAGTTGTTTTACGGTATCAACTATCAGCAAACATACCACAGAGTATGCTATATAATAGATGAGTTCCAAGAACAGAGAAGTCGAATGGGTGAATCATTTGGCTAATTTTCATTTCATTAGGTTTGCTTAGGTTTAGCAGGTTTAATTCACATAGGACTAGGTCTTGAAGTTTTGCATAAAGTTCCAAAGCAAACACGAGACCTAATTTTATTTTTTAAAAGCTGTACGGTGAACTGATGTATGAGCAAACTCTGGTTCTCTCCCACTGCTCACTATGTAGAAAGTAAAGAAAGCCTCCCCTTGTGAGCTGTGTCGTTTCTTGGAGGAAAGAGGTATTCGAGCGTGAACTAAGCAGCTGGTTTCATTAACCTCCTGTCCAGCCATGGTGCAGGGGAGCAGTGGGGGCTGTCAATACAAATGGTAACATCCAGAATATGTAGTCATACACATATAATAGGTGAATGCACCTCATCCTGATATGTTCAGCCTTGTTCACTGCATGACGCTGTATGGTGTCATATGTCATTCTTGTGACACTTTATAAAGCCTCATAAATGGGACCCCATTTCATCTATTGGGAAAATGTGTCTACTTTGATATAACTTGATAACTTGATATAGTCAATAAATATCTATATAAATGTTGTGTTTTTTTCCCCTAATACAGAGAGCAGACTTGGCAGTCGCTCCTCTCACCATCACTTATGTACGTGAAAAATTCATCGACTTCTCCAAGCCTTTCATGAGCATGGGCATCAGCATTTTGTATCGCAAACCCAATACTACCAACAATGGCTTCTTCTCCTTCCTGAACCCCATGACTCCCGACATATGGGTCTACATCCTCCTGGCCTACCTGGGTGTTAGCTGTGTCCTTTTTGTCATTGCCAGGTAAGTGCAAAAGTTACATGCTATTTCTCTGTGAGGTCTTCCAGTAGACATAGTAATTTACTCTATCATCACAGACTGGGGTTCGAGTACCCAAGCCAGTTCATCATACTGCGTTAGTTGCTGGGTAGTGATCAAGGCAGTTTTGTCTGCATGGGCTCTCTTCAGCGCAGCAGTTGGGGAGGAATACAAAAACCTCCAGTTGAGTTGCAAAGTCCTATTCAGAGGGCAATTTCTTGTTTCCTGTGTGCTGTCTTTGGAATTGGCAAAGCATCTTGAACCAACCCTTCAAAAAGTACTCATTTCGCCTCGAGCTAAAATAAGAAAAAATATCTATAATTGTCATATTCAGCCATGCAAAAAGAAAAGAATATATACACCTGATGTAAAATTGCATCAGAGTAGGCTATTTATAGTTGATCACCAGCATTTACATATATTATAAATAATGAACTTCCAGGCTGGTACAAGTCAGTCACAGTTTTAATGGAGGGAGATTATCTGTTTGATTGGGTGAGAAGTATCTCACTTGTAATTTTTTTTTTTTTGGTCATGAATATGATGAATATCTTTTTAGTGTCATTGTCTGTATTTCCTGCTGCTTCTCATGCAAAGTGGTGCTTGAGGAAGTTATAGAAAAGCGAGCACTGAAAGGAGTTCAGGGGCTTGAGAGCAAACAGCTGCACTCTATCCTCATTTGCTGTTGTGAGACCAAACAAATTCTGGAGTGGCTTCACATAAGTGCAAAATCATCTTAAATTGTTGCATCAAGTTTTTGAAGGCTGGCCTAGATAGCTGAGTCGCATCCCTAAAAGTGCGTCATAATTGAGCATAAAGCAGATGACAGAAAACAGAGAGGGGGCTACTCCAAGCACAAATAGGCCATTTCAAATGCTGGAGATTTGCGTCAGTGTATTGTCATCGATATTAGGCAAATAAATGTAACAAACATATTAGAAATATATGAAATACAATATTTATGATGTGAAGGATCACTTATTTATCCACAGATAAATAGCATATAAACTATGCTGTAACACTGTGCTGGAAAAATCGCCTATATATTAAAATTAGAGATGATTTCTGAATATTTTTGCCTCACACATTTAAAACCTGAAGATAATACATCCGAAGAAAAAACATTGCCTCACCAATAAATCTGAAAATCTCTGTAACTTGTTGATGTGGATGAGCATTTATACTCTCACTGTCTGTTTAACACGCTTAACACACACAACTAAGCAAGTGTGTGGTTTTACACAACATATTCAATATGTAAAGATATCGTGGCTTCTTGATCCGTTTAGATTTATTATACAGAGATATCCAAAGGATCTGAATAGTGATATCCATTCAAAGATCCACTAAGACAAAACACAGACAAAACCTGACAAAACACAGATCCTACTAAGAATGATTACCTGTGTTTCCAAAGCCTTTTATAGTTTATTCCTCTGTGCTGAGGAGCTCTGTTGTTTTTAAAGAAAACACATTTTTGCACTGGGTGACCTGTTCCTTTCCATGAGCCAGTCTCACTTTCAAAAAGAAATATCCCCCCCAAATATACAATTTACTTCTGTTGCCTAAAAACAAATCTCTAAACCACAAAATCCAGCGTTTGCAGGCAAAGATTGGAATCAACACTATATATGTGTTGATTTTAAAACTGTTAGATTTTCACTAAGAACTTGGTCCTTTTGTGGGAATTAAATAAAAAATATAGACTGTTGTTAAAAAAATGTTACAATCCTTAGAACCACAAAGGTGTATTTAGATTAAATGTGCTACATTAAATCAGTTTGCAATATCAGCGCATTTTGCCTTTTTTTTTTCTTGTCTAGTTAGTCTTGGTATTTGTGTGCTTCCTATGAGATCAACTTTATTTAGAGCTAATTGCAAGACATGTCTTTGGGTAAGCTTTGCTCGCCACATCGAATAAATCACAGATGCTGATTTGGTCCTCCAATGATCCAGACTGAAATCATTCACAGACAACAGGGAGTGCTGTTATTATAGTCTGAAAATAGATGTAATTTAATAACTGGCAGCACTAACATTTCAACAGAAAAAAATTGACAAAAAAGTTAAAAACTGTGCCGAAGTAGTATATATTTAGCAAGCTAATGTTTGTGAATGCAAAAATGAGGCTTTTGCTTTGTTACGTTTAATTACCAAGCTGTCTCCAGGTCATTATTTCTATGGGTATGCAGTTGGTCTAACTATATTCTTGGTCGTGTAGAAATGAAGTTTATTTTCCCTCATAGCCACATTATCAAACACTGTGGAAAGCAGAACCTATAGTCGCTTTCTGCATTTGTAATGGTGGAAAATTAATGGTTATTTGGGACATGTGCATTTAGCTAAAGAAGGTACACGTATAACAAAGTGAGACCAAAATCTCTAATACTTCAGCCACTGTGTCATCAGTACACTTTTGCTTGGCTACCTACCAACTACAGCGAGAAAATATGATCAAAAAGTCCACATCAAGTGGAAGTATGGCCACAGGAGAATTTACAAAAAAAAATGTTGTATTAGAGTTTCCCTTTTTACTAAAATCACAACTAGTAAATCTAATAACATATATCAGCAACACATGATGTATTGAATGAATCCAAAAAACTGTCATTTGCAGTCCCTACCCAGGAGAGTACCTTGTTCCGCAGCATCACTCTACTGCATGTAGGCTGCTGCATGAAGTCTGAAACATGCTTATGGCTCTGGTTGACAGCACAACCTTTTTAGACATTAGCAGAGAAATCAGGAGGATTGAATCAGTACTCTCACATTGCCTATGTAGGAGATGCTCTGAAATAATGAAAAAAGGCATTCTGGTTTTCCTTATTTGTGTCCTGTTTAAGTCCTGTTCGTGTGTATTTTGGCTGCAAAAATCTCTCCTATTTTCCAAGCCTCTATCACATATTACATGGCCAAGGCTTTCAATTTAAGATTAAAGTAAAACAAAATGAGACTGAAGGAATTCATTAAAATGTTAGAGAGCACCACATTTGTACAACAGCTGCCCAAGGCCTCTTTGATGTCTGCAAATGTTATTAAGGGCAGATGAGTCGCGAATGCTAATGGAAACACTTAAAGATAGTAACACTGGTGAGTATATGTGGCTGTTGTCATTTTAGTCTATGGGAAACAACACTTAGGCAAGATCACAGTGGGCAAATACAGTCTTTTAATGTTCATCAGTTCATATATCTGGATGCTTAAATAAGACTAGAATTAATGAATGACGCCTGGAAAAGCCTCTGTCTATTTCATGATTAACCATCGGTTCAGTTCGCCCTCAGATTAAAATAGATTGCTGACATATTAGAAAATATTTCTGCGCTGTGTAATTAGATTGAAGTCTATTAGTCTTTTCATAATATACATTCTAGTTAATTCAATCTTTCTAGATTATTCCTGCCATATCCCTTCAGAACAGAAATATGCAACCAAAGATTCAGTATAGGAGAGTCAGTGGACTGTTTTAGTTACTCATTATGTCTAATGCCATATTCTGCCACATTAGCAAATAAGACACGTCGGGGTAATGATGACACAATTCTTGCCACGAGCATGCCAGAATAAAATATAGTTAATATTAATACTTTTTCCCAGCCTCTGTCCTCCTGTGCAGTAAAGTTGCATGGGGTGGAGGGTGGGTGTCACAGATATGGAAAGTTGCATATGCTTTATGCTTTCATGTGACTTTAACAGGGGTCCTTATTCCTCACATTCTCAAACATGACATTTTACACCCTCTGAAAAATTGTATTTTAATGCTTCAATCGTCACCTTTAACTACAAAGCATGTTGGAATAAGTCAAGGGGGTTTCCAGAGGTAAGGCTTAAAAAACTAGGACCAGTGTATTTAAATATTTGATGTGACATTTGATAATAGTTTGAAAAAACTTTTGCACCTATAAAACCATTCCAGCTACTGCATATAAACTATATTATACATATTTCACCCAGACGTTATGGCCATGTTCGTGGCCAAAATAACCGACTGACTCCGGAGTCCCCCATAGTGACTCCCCTTTGTTTTTGTAACTCATTGTTTTTGTGTTAAAGCCCACAAATCTATTGCTTGCATTATTCCTTTGTATTATTAAAAGACTATCAGAGAGCTACTCTTAGTGAAAAAAGGCCTAAAACTAGCTGTACAGTTACTACCCAGAATTAAGGCAGATGATGGAGACAAAATTCTAGATTAATTACTTAATTGATTATTGGTGTTGATCCTTAGCTTGACAGATGTTTGCTTATATGTTCACCAGATCAACTGTAGAGGCTAATAATCAGTCCAAGGTCGTATTTACAGCTTAATTTGCTGCTAATAATCAATTAATCGTGCTTTAAGTAGTGCTTGTAGAGTTGCTGTCTAATGCATCATTATCTCTTTTACTCTAAACCAAAGATGAAACTCTGAAATAGCAGTGCTATTCAACATTGTTCAAGAATGATGTAAAAGATATAATACTATTGTTCTTTGATCTTGTGACTGGTAGAGGTTTTTGACTCCTTTCCAACTTCTCTTAATCCCAGATTCAGTCCATATGAATGGTATGACGCCCATCCTTGCAATCCTGGATCAGATGTGGTGGAGAACAACTTTACCCTGCTCAACAGCTTCTGGTTTGGAGTTGGTTCCTTAATGCAACAAGGTAAGGCGGCGCACACATCCTCTTTCCTGTCAGAAACAATCCTGTCACCCCCACCCTCCTTTTCTCTTCACCACCACCTCCCACTTTCTGCCTCTTTAACTGACAAGCTCCATGATTTCCATTCCGTGACTGTTTCATAAGACATTTACCTGTCAAGAACAACTGCCGAGCTCAGTCTTACATGACAAAGGGAAGCTGTTGTCACCTACCTGCTGTTTAAAAAGGGAAGAGTATGTGCCAGACACTTGTCAGAGATTGGCGGGTAAGGGTGGAAAACATCGTTGCATTTATTTCCACGTTACACAGTCACTGGCCCTGCTCAAGAGCTTTTTGAATGTTGAGGACGCAAAGGGTAAGTTGAGGAACATGTTTGACAAATGCCAGCTGTCAGCTATGCTCGAACTGGCTGCTGTGACGTGTTCAGCACTGCTTGGCTTGCGCTAAGAGTGGCCGGGTGTAGAGAATCCATATGTTTCAATTATAACTGTCCAACAAGTAGCCCACCAACTTATGTCACTGTTGATGCCTTATAATTTTGAACTCAGTCATCATATATTTTAGTGTCAGGTCAAAAAGCGTATTGTCGATGTAATATTATTAAGTAAAAGCAGAGGGATATAAATAAGTGTTTGCTGTTAGGCCATTGCTAGGTGTCCCTGAAAGGGATAGGTAGGCAAATAAAGGCCCAGAAATAACATAATGAAGTCAACTGTGGAGAAAAAGACCAACGTAACAAAAATGTTTAACCTTAGTGTAACAAGACAAATCAAGGAGGCTTAGTGAGACTCGGCAGTGGATCTTTGCCCGTAAGGATAGCAAACACATTCAGCAATTCATTAAGCACAGAAATTCGGCGGCACTCTTGTGAAACTGCATAGCAGCTCTGCCAATTTGCTGGTGCAGTCAGAGGGTTATGAGTATAGCACCAGTGGGCTGGAAGGGAGAGGAGAAAGAAAATCAAAACAAAATGAGCTAGTTAGTAGCCTATATTATTAAACTAAACTGGGGAGAATTTTTCATTATAATTCATAGAGTGTTGTCTGTAAATGCCTCAGCTCCAGTTCTTCTTATTTAGCCTGCTGGAGCTGACTAGAGCTGCGTCTGCTGCTAATCAGCTCTTCATAGTTCATTGAATACATTTCTTCACACCAGGATATCAAGTTAATATAAGGTTAGTGTTCCAATAACTGTTTCTCCGTGAATTTTTAAAGAGGTACAGTCAAACGTATATTTCAACATTTAATGCATCGACGTGAAAAAAAGCGACGACGCAGACTGATTCTGGGATTCGGTGACACACATTTGTGCTATGGTACCTTGCACACATGCTGCACGGTGGGATCTGCAGCGAGTTATATTTTGTCTGTGTCACATAAACAGACTTCCCTTGCTTGTCTGCCAAACACAGTGACAGCAGCTGAGACGGAAGCCATTTCCTTGACATGTTTAAAATGCAAATGGACGTGTTTGAGAAAATCCAAAAAAATCTACCAGCTTGTCTGTGGGAGGGAGGTGTCCTAGACAACACAAAGAACATAAAATATGAGGAGGTGCAAAAGCAAACACTTTGTGTGCTTCAGATGTGTTCCTGGGGTCTCGGTAGGTTTTTGCTCACATCATGTCTGATCGTTTCTTGCAAACTGGCTTCTGCAAAATAAGCACTGCAATGCAGTTTCTGATATTTGTGATGACATCGTTTCTTTATTAATTAAAGCACATCTCCCTGCATAATATAAATAGGATTGTGAATGTATGTTTACCATGATTTTTTGTTTTAAAATTTTAAATATAGCATTCTTTATTTTGTTATTTACACATTATTACATTGAGGTGGGTTTCTCTCACTCTGGTTGAGAAACTGGAGCAGTGTCCTTGCTTTTTTTTTGTATCTTATTTTTTTTTAGAATGGCATCAAAATTAACTTAGCCTACTTTGCGTGCAATGGGACAAACATTTCCATTCACAAGTGTCCTTATTTTAAACCAATTAAGTAAAAGTAAAAGCCTCAAGCTTGGAAAAGGAGTTTTTGTCTGACTCCGTAGAAGAGAATGCTAAGTGCAGGTAGCTATTCTCATGGGAAAGCCGAGTGCTAGTGTTGAGGTGAGACATTGCTTGCGGGAAGAAACACTCCAAAAAACCAGGTGCATCATACTTAGCACGATGCATTTTTAAATTCAAAGAGAAACTCTTACTCTCCCCCCCAAAGGATGACAACTCAAAAGGCATTATTAGATGCAAAGCAATCTGTTCGTTTATTGAGAAGAAAATAACATCATACTGTCAAAGAGACTTCTTAATTATTGTGTTTTGATGAATGTATGTTGAGATGTTAGTAGCAGCTATAGAGATGGTATATTTATCATGCATTAGCTTACAAAACAAAGGAAAAATCCTTTTACAACTCAAACAACTATTTCAAAATAGATTCATTCAACATGATATAGAACTCGTAACATTATAATATTAATATAGAATCAAAATGCCTCTATAATGCAGACTCTTCAATAACAAGTGAAAGATTTCTAGTTCCATTCCGGCAGGAGATGCAAATCCCTGTAGGGTTGCATCAGGAAACAAAATAAATCAAAAATCCGGAGCCACCTGCTGTGGCGACCTCTTGTGAACAAGAGAGCAACCGAAACTAGTACTGCATAATGCATAATCTTACGACTTAAAAATGCAACACTACAATTTTTACATAATTCAGTTCAAATTAACTTTCAAAAATCAGTCGGGCTATTTTTTTTTTTCAATATTAAGCGATGACCATAGTTTTTGAAGCATTGTTATTGCTCACATTTAAGTGGAATTAGCAAAGTATAGCAAATCAAATGCTGTAGTGAGAAAGGATTTGCTTTGCTGTATCGGCAATAAGAACTTTATAATGTGCAATAGGAGAGATCTGATGCAATGGTAAGAAGACACAACTGTGACATGTTTTAACATTTACAATTGTAGGCATCATGCTTGTTTGTGATGATGACATACCTTACCATGAGAAAATGAAAATATTTTGATAATATACATTTAAATTTAATTTTTTATTTTATTTGATAATAACAAAAATATACCAATTTAAATGCTATATAATGCATTACACAAATAAATATATCCAAATGATTGGATGCTGTATTGTCAGTTTATTTTAATTACCAGATCAAACATCTGTAATGTCACAGTCATCAGTGTATTTCAGTAATACATTTTTACCTTGAAGTTATAGCTTGCAGTACTCAAAATCTATATTAAATTGAAAGTATATAGGCTAAACATTTTTTTAAAGATAAATTATTATAGTACTACAGCAATGTAATTATTTTGCTGACTACTCCTGTTTGAGACAAAGCCTAATGGGTTAATTTGATGTATTTTTTTCAGTGGCCTATAGAATTAAAATATTATAGTCATGTCCTTATTAGTGAAAAGATATCAACTTCACCTTTAGTTAGTGCACATGTATGTTAATTTTATCAAAACATTGCTAGTGTTTTGGAAGCAGTCTGTGAGTTATTAAGAAAAATCTTAAACATTTTTAGTCTCTCTCGCCTAAAAAGCCTTTATGAGTTAACTTTGAACTTGTAAAATATGATATTTTCTTTTGAGAGTATGCAATATAATACGGGAAGTTTCACCGCTTTTTACTGGAAAATGTATACATCAAGGGACAGTGAATTTTTATTTCAGCTAAAGGTTAATAGGCTATTGATATTGCTATAGCTAGGTTAGCTAACTAGTTTAAAACCATTTTTCTGCTTGTTAAACATAATATATACACTGTTTGTAATATATATTGTATATATTTTTAGAAATACTTTAATTGGTTATGGAAATAACCATATCGACATTTCTTCTGAGAAAGTTTAGAAAAAAAAAAGCCATAATGCTAATTAGCTTAGCATTAGATATATACTGGATGCAAGAGAAAGCTAACCAGAAGTAAAATGTTTTGTTGCAAAATAGTAAAATATTAATCAATACACACATTGTTTCATCTGTTACTTTGTTAATTGATCACTAAAAAAGGAAACATTTCTGAAATTTCAAAAAAGACAGTGTAGCTCCTGGACACCAAGATGTGAAGTGCTGGCTACTCATAGGATCTGTATTGTTCTCCCAGAAAGTACTTTGTTATTTCCTCAGTTTACAAGAGACCTTCAAAGAACTGTATGGTATATTGACCCCATTTTATTTCCCTGGCACTACATGACTGATCTGCTTTTTGTATTTATTAGAGTTTTCTGATACAGCACCATATACTGCTCCCTGCTGACAGCAGCGCTTTATAGTGTGGAATTCAATTGAGTTACACGTTGCTTCACTTCATTTTTAGTGCAACAAGAGAATGCATCTGGATCTTCCATCTCTGAAGTCATAGTGAATTAAAGGATGCTACTGTCTTCCCTTGTTTGTAACCAGGCAGAGTCTTTGTCAGACCACAAAGGACAAATCCAATCAAATTTGGTAGAAGAGGTTAAAGAGCTGACCACTCTGCCCCTCTTCTGTGGGCTTGTTACTCTTCAGAATTGCCCTCGTAAATCTTCTCAGTAAAGTAACAGAGTGCACAAAGCACAAGGGTATTTTAAAGGTTGTCAGAGATGAGATATAAAGTAACTTTAACACCAGTCAGTGAGCCATTGTAAACATAGTATTACTCAGCAGAGGACCACTCAAAGTCGAGGTTGATGCAGAGGTGCACTGTCAGTCCGGCTAGGTATTATAGCTTACCTTTATTTTCTTCTCATTTTTATACTGGTGTTGATGATTTGACACAATACCTCAATGTAAAGAAATGATAAGTTATGAAATGCCATGAGGGTATAAATAAATAAGCTTTTCATCAGATTTCACATCCTATTTTTTCACAGATTAAGTTCTTTTGCAGTTGCTTTACCAAAGCTGACTTTAAGAAAATATTGATGACTGAATACAATCAAACACATCAATTATTTCATTTTCATCTTGCTTGAAAAAATAAATAAATAAAAGTAATGTAAAACTCTAAGCACCATACAGTTTTACTGATCTGATCTGCCATTTTTGAATTCTAAGCTTAGAGTGTGGCTAACCTGGCAAGCTCGCATCAGTTTCCATTTCCTCATTGACAGTACCTTGATCAACACTAGTGGCACTGCCAAAAACATTTGCAGACCAATTAACAAAAATGCATGGTCATGTCACTGAATTTGTTTTATTCAGTTACACTGTTGGCATGTACAGTTTTGTATAGCTAATTGTTTAATAGTCTCTCACTCTACATTGCCTACAGGCTCAGAATTGATGCCCAAAGCCCTGTCGACCAGGATAATTGGTGGGATCTGGTGGTTCTTCACGCTCATCATCATATCATCCTATACAGCTAATTTAGCAGCTTTCCTCACTGTGGAAAGAATGGATTCACCTGTGGACTCAGCTGACGACATTGCAAAGCAGACCAAAATCGAGTACGGCGTGGTCAAAGATGGTGCAACGATGTCTTTCTTCAAGGTACAAATGGTAGTATTATTATCAGAATTATATTACACATATAAATTCAGTTACATTTTAATTCCCACAGCAAAGGCTTTTTTTCTTTTTAGTTTCTCCACTTCTCTACACCGTTTGATGTGTTCCAGATGATGTTTTTTTATTCCGAAGTTTCAGCGATTGCCTGAAGGGTCTTGACTTTATTTCATTATTTTGAGCTTTGCTTCAGATGCTTCTGCTGCTGTGGTGCTGAATAACACATGTAACAGAGTTACAGTTTCTCAGAGTAAGAAAATGAAAACACTGCACATTTCTATTGAAGACACATAAGATTATGATATTCAATTGGAATAAAGAAAAAAAAAAAGAATACTTTTTCAGGGCCTGCCCTAGTTTTTTTTGTTGCCCTGCAAATCCTGTATTTTAGTTCATGAATACTTTAGTCTTCACTGTCGAGTTTGATTTATGCATATTTTCTGTTGATAATGTTTACATTGAAAAACAATATTGATGTGCTGATGATTAATCGAATTGCATTTTGCTTATGTAAAGGAGTATCACCATAATCCCAGTTTACCATGTATGCAGAAATAATCTGTATTTCTGTAACTTTTTCCAATGTAAAACTGTTATTTTTGATCAGTTTCAATACTTTGATAATCACGGTTGTGATTATTGCATCATAAATAGGAGACACAGGTGTATAATTATCCAAGACTCACGTGCCCTCTGCTCCTACTTGCTCTTACAGAACGGCTTAATGATGTTAACTCAATGAGGCAGAGAAGCATGATAAATACTGATGAGACCAGGGAGCAGATAAAGCCTCTGCAAATGGATGCATTTGGTCTTAAACTTATTTAGAAAAATATATTCAACTGTTCGTAGCTTTGCTCTGGATGGAGTCACACGTGCTGTGTGCTGCACATACAGAGGACTGAGGTCAAAAAAGCTACCAAAAGGTTGTGATACCAGATGATTTCTGTTACTACCATTTGGGGATTAAGATTGTATTGAGATTGTGTATAATTTAAGATTTGACTGATTATTTCAACACATTTATAACACAATCTAAGTCTAGTTTTACATTTATCCAGAATAAGACAGCTTTCAAATCATGATCGTGAAATTATAATAGTGTTGTAGCACATGTTTCGTTTCTCTAGAAAAAGAGTCAACCACTATAGGCCAGAACTTATCTTATGAGCTGCCCATTGGATTAAAACAAGTGCACTAAGGAGCCTGTCTATGACTATTACCACCTACTAATGATAGGCTGAAAAAATGCCTGATGTAGCTCCCATTGTTCACTGGGGAAAGATGGGGAGACGTTCTTTATTATGAGTCATTCGTAATTTACACACTGCTGTAACACAAATAAGCCGTACTAAGCTACCATATGGTAAGATGCCAACTTGGCAGCATTTGCCATACATCTTAATTGGTGCTTTAAAGTTTTAATATCAGACTATCATATCTCAGTTTTAAGCAGCCAAGATTGTGCTTATACTGCAGTTAACAATAATAGAGGGCTTCTTATAGTGGCATCTTTCACAATTTGAAATGGCTTATACTCTTTAAATAGTAATTATCTAGGATTAGACATGGCATAAATGTGACCTCCTAGAAAATTGCATGAAATACCACATAGCCCGATGTAACACTAATGGCAAGGCTGTCTATTATTGCTGCTTCAGTAGCACTTATGAGGACAGATATGTACAGAGCTTTAATTTACTGTCCTTTAATCTTGTGACAAAGAAGATATGGGTAATCATTTAAATCTATTTGATCACAGGCTAAGAAACTGTATTGTTAAGTGCTGTAAATGAACAAGTGTCATCTCTGACATTTTCTATTACATTTTTTTTAAAAGAAGGAGAAAAAATCCCCCTAAGTTTTTCTTCCAGTGGGACTAGAGAGATTTCATGGTTAGCAGTATTTTCAGATTTAACACCTTGGGGCATCTAACATCTGAAATTTATTTATTTAAAATTGATTTTTTTTTTTTAGTGGCAGAAGCATTGTACTTTTTTTAGCTACTTTCTCTCGCCTGCAGCTAGGGAACTGTTAAAATGAGTCACTTTTTAAAAACTGCATCTTTTCATCCTTTACAGAAATCTAGAGTTTCTACTTTTGAGAAGATGTGGGCCTTTATGAGCAGCCGGCCAAGAACTTCACTGGTGAAGTCTATTGAAGATGGTATTCAGAGGGTGTTGAAGTCAGACTATGCCCTCATTACGGAGTCCACCACTATTGATTACATCACTAGAAGGAACTGTAACCTGACACAGGTGGGAGGACTTATCGACAGCAAAGGCTACGGCATCGGCACTCCCCTCGGTAGGACTTTTAAATGGCTAACGAGTATATTTGAGACTAGAAGTTATAAAAATTGAAAAGTTTTCAAAAGTTATGTGTTACTTTTTGAAGAAGGAGGTTGAGGTATTACTATTCAGATGTGGCAGCAACATAAAACTTTTTTTTTAAGCTACTAGTGAGAGTGTGTCACAGCATGTTTATGAACCTTATTATCACAGAGTCCAGCTGGTGTTTCTTCCAAAGTAAAATAGGCCTTATGTTGCTTCCAGGCTCTCCATACAGAGACAAAATCTCCATAGCAATCCTAAGCATCTTGGAGGATGGGCGCCTACACATGCTAAAGGAGAAGTGGTGGAGTGGGAGCAGCTGCCTGGATGAACGGCATCGCGAAACAGGCCCCATGGGTATCCAGAACCTGGGTGGTATATTCATTGTGCTGGCATCTGGCCTAGTGCTATCTGTTTTTGTGGCAATTGCTGAATTCATCTACAAACTACGGAAGACTGCGGAACGTGAGCAGGTATATGTCCTCATAAATTAACAGAAGAATATATTTTTTTTAAGTATGCATGGAAAATTACTTAGAAATTAATTTAATTACACTGTACTAGCATTTGATTCACCTTTTTGCTAAGAAGTTGGTGCATGTGCCATTTTGTTATTTTGCTGCGTTCCATATAGCCGCTAAACCAAAGCTGTGCTCTATTCATGGCTTTTTTGTTCAAACATGTTATAAAAGGATTTGCATGCCTTTGGCTAATCCCCAGGAGGACTTGGCCATAACACCACAACATTTACTTATTTTAACAAGCATAATTGCAAATTGGAGCATAGAGACGTAATCCATTATTAGTCACTGGCGATGTCAGAATATCATGAGCGCCTTTGCTGTTGTAAATCATTAATTTGAGTCATGTTAAGAAAATAGTTGCATGTTCTCACACCAAACTTTTTTGACACAGAAACAATGAATTGTGTGAACTCTACGCGGGGTGGTGTTGCAGTTTGATATTGATGACAGCCATGCACATGCACACAATGCAAACATACCAGAATTAACCCAACATAAATGTTTTTATCCATTTTGTGCTCCTTAGACTGCCGACACTCTCTGCTGTCAGAACAATTTAAAGCTAAGGCATTTACCCCCCGTCCCTTTCCCCTCTTCTCCTTCTCGCTGCCCTCTCCGCATCCTCCCTTTTTGCCCAGAGGTCTTTGTGCAGTGCCATGGTGGACGAGATCAGACTGTCGTTCACCTGCGAGAGACGGGTGAAACACAAACCTCAGCCTCCAGTCATGGTGAAGACGGATGCAGTGATCAACATGCACGCCTACAACGACCGACGACTCCCAGGAAAGGACAACATGAGCTGCAGCACTGGGATGACTCCTGTGTTCCCGTGACAATGTGTTCCCCACAGGGCAAGAGCCTGCTGAGCAATGTTTCAGGGGCACTGCCAGTGACTAGAGACAATGGTATAGATGGGATCACCAGATACAGCATTAACCACAGTGACATGGGAACACTAACAAAACATGGGCAACTGAAAATGGCAGCATCAGCCACACAGGTATGACAACATTCACCATTGTAATCCAAACTGAAAGAGGTAAAAGCAGGATTCAGTGAGGTTCTAAGAAAAGAAAAAAAGCCCATTCCTGAGAAAGGAAACAGTATATACACTCAATCAGTTTCAAGTCTGATGTTTACGTGCGCAACATAGAAACACAAGGAAAAAAACCACAATGTTCAAGGAATCCTGAATCAGGCTGAAAAAACTTAGCAGAACACAGCGAGAAGAATGGCTCTATGGACAATGGCAATAAATGAAAGATATACAATACAAGAACGGAAGGCGATCTGATTGAAGTTCAGTTTTGCCACATGCAAAAATTGAGTTTCTACCTTTACCCAATTGATTGATTTACACACTTCTAAATGGCCTCAGACAGCAAAAAAATAATGTTACCTCAAACTTGTTGTCTGGGCTTTAATGGTTGCCATTGAGTCAAAAGGTATAGGAAAACTAATTTAGTATGTGCAGTATTGTTATTGGTGGACGGCTAGTTAAAAGTTGAGCAATTAAGTTAGTTGTAATTTGTAATTAATTATATTGATAGACACAAGCAATCATAGTCACTGATGCAAAGTGGATTGTTGAGATGTATTAAAAAACGAGAGATACAACCTTGCTATAATGGTCCTAGTAATACCTTTTGTGTCTAATAATTTTGTACATGACTAAATTTTATTAACTTAAAATGATGATTGCCAAAGATATGATGATTCAGTAGAAGCATTTACATTAGCATATGGGGCAGAACGGTTCACTTAGGAGCACAAATCTTGCATCCAATGAAAAGTCCAATGAAAAGCAAATTGGAGCGTTTTAACTTTTGTTGTAATAATCTTGTTGTAATATTTGTTCAAACCATGCAGGGTAATAGGTATCCTAAATACATTATATTTTATGGTTAAGCAAACCAACTTAGATTAAAAAAAATGTTTATCAAAATGTAATGTAAAACAATTATTGCACAAACAACACAGGAAAACTTATTGATCAATTTCCTGTTCAAAAGTCAAAAATGTCAAACAGTTTTAATAATAATACTGAAAATATTGAAGCAGTTTTGACTAGTTGTGGCAGCCTGCAGTTTTTCTAAAATCTCTAACTCTTGATTGGGCTGAAGGGCATTAGTTCAGGCATTTCTGTTTATATTACAACTGAGAGACAGAGTTTGTTTTGTTTGGGTTTTTTTGTTGTTGTTTTTTTTTCAAGCATTTAAGCATGACATATTCACTAAAATATGTGTTTGGTCTGTGTCTGAATGTGGCCACAGGACCACTGAATGTCCCAACTGCTTCTGACATTTTAAACACTCCATTCATCTGTGTGATCTGCAGGCTTTTTGGACAAATGATTGGTTTGCGTTATATATACTGGGCATAAGTTTGGGTTTAAATGAGCAAAGCAAGATTCTGAAGGTCATCTGCGACCAGAACGTCCGTATTCTTCTTTTCAATTACCTGATGTGGACTGAATTCATACGTGTCGTGTGTGAACATACTGAAAGACAATGTGGTGACAGATCACAGTTTTGTGTGCTCATATACTGTATGCTATACTGTATCTAAAGCGAGTGTCGTGCCCAAGAAAGATTCGAGGAGTCTGTGAGCTGCTGTCGCCTGAAAGCTGAATGAACAGCAAACCTCTGTGAGGTTTAAATTGTTGATACGCAGAAACAACATCAACAACAACAACAACAACAACAAAATAATAATTTGTAACTATCTATGATTCAAGGAAACTCCAGTCTGTAATACTAAGCATTGATTTGGTAGAGATTGACTGTGTTATTGTTTTATCAATTCCCTCCTGCAAAGTAGAATATGTAGATAAAATCAGCAGGAGAAAATGTATTTTGCTAAATTTATACTGTTATAAATGAATTCTGTTAACAGGTAAATATGTTCTAGATGCTATTTATTTCATTAGAGAGGTCAATTTTAACTACTTCCTCACTTTACCCCAAATCCATAGCCCCACACCTTTTTTTTAATTTATTTAAAAGAAATGCATTATATGATATGGTATATTGGATTAATATCATCCGGATGGAAAAAATATACAGTATGTAAATCTTCTTATATGATGGCGAGAATATTTCTATGAGGTGAAAATGAAATGGAAATGCTGAGCTTTCCTAAGAATTTGGGGGACGTTGTTTTAGAGTAGGATTATATTACGTAACCCTAACCCGGACCTTCACTCTTCATGAAATCCTGATGACAACCTGGTCTAAGGTACGGCTGTGGTTGATACATGGTTCTGCTACGTTACTGTTACCCTCATGTGAACTGTAGCTTTTCATGCAGGTTATTGAAAGACAAGATTGCTTTTCACGTCTGTAATATGTGAAAGTAAATCAAAATGTCATCCGATTAGTTGGAATTACAACAGGGTTTCGGATTTGGCTGATCCAGTCAGTTTGATTACTGAATATATATGTTTTTTAAGAAATAAATTAATGTGAATAATGTCATTTTACACAAACTTGTAAGAAATGTGGGAGAAAAGTGTGTTCCATTAGCAGTGTGTGATATGAATTTTGATTTTCTAGCAGTCATGATGGTATGCCTTCTTATGTATACCTTTCTTTTCAGTTGCAAAGCTTCTATCATTTGGCAGAAAACCTCTCAAACAATATGATAAATATGTTGGTGCCAACCAGGGTTTTCTTTGTGGACATGCAGAATTTCTATGAATATAGTTTTTGTAAGGTTTTGTAAAAAAGAAAAGAAAAAAAAGATTTTGTTTTCCTAGTAACTGTATGTGTTAAAAGAACATTAGAATAACCCACAGCCGAGTAAAACATGGGGAAAATCGACAAAATACTATATAAAAGCTACTGAATTATTTTCTTTTTAACACACTGTGAATAATTCAATTGTACAGTTTGCTGTATGGGTTATATGAGGTTTTAAATAAAAATACAAACTATTTATATCTGTTGATCTACTGACTGATTAGTGATGTTCCATCGTGCTAAAGATGTGGCTTTAGCATGTTATCACTGAATATCTTTGAGCTTTCAGTATCAACACATTCAGAGTTACAGTTAAACGTTTTGCAGTGAGTCTCACATTCAAGGTACTATTTGCATTTCTGTGATTTTGGTTGCTTCGTGTTAGAAAGCTTGCAGATGTGCCCAAAATTACTGGATTAGATTCAATTTCCTCGAATCAGATTTTGATTATCATTATGAAGAACCTGTTAGTGACTATGCATTATGCCATTATGCAGAATGCATAAGGAAACATCAAAGACATAACAAAAATGTATAACAGCAAGCGATGATGATGAAAATATATTGTCTAATTGCAAATACAAACAACCATGTGTGGAAAGAGAAGTCAGTGCCCACTGTTTAAGGACTTTGACTCAACATCTGATGCTTTCAGGCAAAATTCGAGGATTTGAAATCAAACTGAAAGGTGCTGGAACCATGCTTTATGGATTTTGGTCCATGCTGACATGATAGCATCACATGCTTACTTGATAAATAGTATCTTAAAGGCATGTCCCTAAGAAATATGAAAAAAATCCATCAAAGACCAAACTCTTTGGCACTCCCTTTGAGAACTCTTCCTGAAGACTAAAAGAAATTGCAGAAAAGCTTGCCTAGAAGAGTTCAGGCTTTGTTGAAGAATAAAAGTGATCATTATCTTTCAAGCTCATTAAAATTGTACACACTCTGCCTTATATACTATATTTGATAACATTACCAATTTTCTTAGCTGAAATATTTCCAATTTTCTTAGCAAAGCATAATGAGGGGTGGCTCAGTAGGCTGTGGCATTTAAAGAATATTCAACCCTAACACTAAAACTTGGTTGTAACAAGCGGTTATTTGAGTTACTGTTGGCTTCCTATTTGCTCAAACCCTCTAGCCATTCTCCACTGACCTCAATGAAGGATTTCACCCAGAAAAATGCCTCTCTCTATTTTTTTTCTTTTCCAGATTCTCTGTAAATTCTACATATGGTTATGCGGGGAAATCCCAGTAGATCAGCTGTGTCTAAAATAGTGAGAGCAAATGGCCTAGCACCAACAACCGCGGCACTCTAAAAGAAAAAATGACCTAGTAAAGTGGCCAAAAAGTGTATAATTTGCAACAGTAAAACAAAACTGATCATATCATAACAGAACATAGAAAAATGACAACATAGATTATACATTCTTAACAAAACAGGTCTATGTGCTGAAACTGAGACATTTTGAAACACCTGAAGACTTGACATATTCTATAAGTATCCATATTCTAGATTGTTATATTTCCTATTTAGTTGAAGATTTTGTATGCTGGTATTTTTTCAAATTCTCTAGATTGTTGCATTTGCATACAACAGCGTGCACATATCCAAGCTTCTCAACTCTGAGAAAAAAAACAAGAAGAGAAAGAATAAATAGACATGTGTGCTTTAAATGGCTTTCATGCATGAACAAGTATGTGTCTTGAGAGAGAGCCAATCTGCTACGATAGAGAGAAAGAGATTAACCTTGCTGGCGTTGGGATGGCAGATGTGTGTGTTAAAAAAGCCGGGGAAACCCCAGGCCATGCCGTTGAGGAGCAGCAGGTGCATAATGAGCGATGGGCAGGGGCCTTGCGCCTAATGGGAAGATTTATTATCTCTCACTATCAATTAATCCCTTTGGACAGACTAGGGCCAGCAGGAATGCATCAAGGGTATGTAAAAGAGAGAGGGAAACTTAGAGAGAAAGGGAGCTAGACTGATGAAGAGAGATGTGAAAGGGCATCAGAAGTGAGGAGAAAAAAAAAGATTACGAGACTATGAAAAAATTAAATAAAGAAAATGATTCTAAAACAGTTGGGTAGCCTCAAAGATTTGAGAAACAGAAATGAAGAAAGAGCAAATAATGAGTAAAACTCCACTAGATAAAAGAACCCAAGTCATATATGAGAAACTTAGAGAGCATAAAACAGAATTTGGGAGACTGATAAATACTTTTTGAGATCAGCTTGGAATCTGGACTGGTAGTGCAGCACTCTGGATTATCTCTGGAAGTAGTTCAACAGATGTTAAGAAATTACACTTTCTGAATAAACTACACAATCACTAAATGGATTTAATAAAAAAACAAATCAATTAAAAAGCTGTTACATGCAGTGTTGTTTAATTATGTTGGAGAGGCTTTTAAGAAAAATTACATTTTTTTTCCATTTTTTTCATTCTGATGGATATTCTGTGTTCAAATTAATGTTAATGGCCTGCAGCCCAATGTTGAGCCATAAATTATTTATCTAGAGGAGAGTTTGTCGAACTCGTTTTAGTTCATGAGTCATATTCATACAGTCCAATTTGATCTCAAGTGGGCCTTGCTGATAAAACCATTGCAACACTCTATTAAACAAACCTTCAAAAATATTATTTCCCTTTAGTGTTTCAAAAGTAGAAAGGTATTCTTTATTGAAATTATCATGTATAAGTCAAATGTGCTTTAACCTGAGATAGCTTATGTAAATATGTGTTTAGGTTTTTTTTTAATTCGGTAATGTGTTTGTTGTTGGACCTGCAGGGAGAAAATGACATCCTGGACAACTACTCTTGTGTCATTTATATACAGTATAATGATTTAAGAGACAGTGGTTCCTGGTGCACAATGCAGCGAAACTGATATCATCCTCATTAACAGTTATTCACTCTACAAAACAGTCCATTCTGTTGTGTGTCAGTGCTGACATCTCCGATCTAATTTTTCATACTGGTGTCCATGTTGTGACTAGCTAAGCTAATAAATGACATTAGTACTTTGCAGCACCTTTTCAATACCATGTACTGTACAGAGATCATTCTCAAATGTCTGCCACAACAGTAAAACCAAAGACAGGCAATGCGAATGTCTTTATGCAATGATACCTGCCAAGGGACGTGATATATTAGGCAGTTGGAGA